TGAAGTCATACCGTCATTGTCCCTACGTGGGTCGGACCCTGGCATAGGTCGAAGCTAATTTCTGGGAATCGATTAAAATAAAATCTTACAGAAATCCTTTGGTGTAGGTAAGGTACACAATATATTCCAGCAACGTTTAGGAAATGTTGATGAACAATGTTGCACCTATGTGTAAATGTCCAAAACGTCAAAGTTGCTCAAATGATGGGAAGGAAAACGTTTTTACGTTGAAAATCGTTACTTATTCATTACATATTTGTTGCAGAAACGTTTCAGGACTTATGTTGCTGCAATGTTGATTAAAAACGTTGCTTCACGGCCACCTAATCTGGACCTATATTGCCATTACGGAGAAACGTAGGCTTCACTGGACCTGAATTGGACCGATATTAGACCAATATTGAATTACTTATTTCATCATTTCGTACCATATACTTTACCTCATTTCCCAGAAATTCTCATCAACAGGACGAGGCCTGTACTGGTTTTACCCTCTACCCATGCATAATGCAGTATCTGTATCATGTACAGGCAGGAGACAGTACGTTTTTGGAGGTGATTTTCCCCTGATGTGCTAAATTTGCACAATACAGAAAAGGTCCGATCGCAAGAGAAGAAAAAAGCACGAAACTAGACAGTGAAGGTTATGCAGGCTTTTTTTACTACCTAATATTAAAAAAAAGACTTCATTCAGTAGTGACCTCTCCGCAATTCTCCCTCGAGAAATTTACTAAAAAGGTCCGATCGCAATGTTCTATGGAGTGTCCACGAGATCAATCCTTCGTTTCCTCAGCTAGTACCCAGGAAGAGGATATGAAGTATTGAGATAGCAGATTCTCTACCATCGTTTTTATTGCCCTGTAAGATGAATTCGACGAATTCTTGGAAAAGGGTTCTTTTTGGGATTATGAGCTTTTTTTATCTTGATCCCATTAATCTGTCTGGAAAATGAGGATAACAGGTGATGAAGTGTCTGTGTTCTTGGATTCCTATAATGAGACAATGTGAGACATATGGCAAAGTACTAGACATTCCTTTGCGTGGCTATTCCAGGGAAAGGGAGAAGAGCACTTTTGTGTGCTGTGAGAGAGCGAGACTTACGTCTCCATCTCGTGACAAGGAGGACAACTTTACAATTCTCTAAAACTGCTAAGTCCATGTTGTATCAGAATGTTGTCGCTACGTTGTCGATATCTCAATGTTGTACAGCAACTTGCAACATAGAGCAACATAGGCAACATTTCGAAAACGTTTCATCAACATACTGTGTTACTTGGGTAAAAGCATTCCCGATGAGTTCGACACTATCACGCGGAACAGTAATATTAAAGATAAGTTAGAAGTGAAGGCGGGTAGAGTGGTAACAAAGATTCTGAATTAAGCCGGTTACCCAAGAGATCAGCCCGAAAATTCCTTGCGGGATACGCTGGAAGGTGAAATCGGTTTTTGGTGGATTTGACTGAAACATTAAAGAAAGAAGTGACATTGCAAAGAAGGCGATGAAGAACGTCACTCACCCGGAGTTGGAAAGCTGCTTTCGTCCTCTTTGCAAAACTTCCGCGAAATTGGGCACGTGCCCTTCTTCCACTGCTTCCAACAGGGAGCAGCAGCAACCGGGAGAGGAATCGGGATTTCGTGCAGGGGCCTGTCAGGGTGAATCGGAGCTGTGCCAAGGGGTCTCTAATAAGCGATATTTTCGACTTTTTGAGTTCGTCGATGGCGCACTAAACGATTATCAGAATGTATATGGATATTTAAGCGATTTTTCATGAGCGATGGACTGAAAGGAGTTCATCCGAGCCACGATCATAAAGGATCGCAAACCCGAATTCGGCATTAGAAAAGTAATCATCATTCAAGTGATATCCAACGAACTAAGGAATGCAATTTAACCGATATCCGGGGAAGGTATTTTGTGACAAAATGCGCATCAGAAGAACGAAAATTCATCGGAACCCTTTGTTGGTAATTTTTTTCATTAAAAGAAAATCATAACATGTTTTGGGTCTAATTTAACTCTCAATAAAGGACATCAAATTTGTATAAAATTTTAAAACAATTGTCTTGGAAATGGAAGTCTTTGGCAGGAGTGGGATCAGGGATTAAAAACATGAGGTCCGAATGCACAAACATCATTTAATGGAGATAAAGGGGCCTTTAAGCTAAAGAGCTATTCATCCCCCCTTGCAGTTCATGTCTTCTTAAAGCACAGTTAACTAAAGGAGGTTTCCGGATTCGAACCTAAGTCTTCAAGTTCAAGCTTAATTAAAATATATCTAGCAAGTGTCATCACTTCACTCCTCTTACACCGAGCCATCGATGGCCTATCCCTATAAAAAGTCCCTGTGTCTATGCCGGAAAATAGGTCTGACTCGGAAAGGTTGCTTGCTCAGGCACGTGAGCTGAAAATGACATTTTGCTTCTTTGATTAGACGAAATTCGAGTCGAGTGCCCTTCGGCCACTGTCTCATCTGCGCGAGATCGAACGATGCTCTTGATCGAAATACTTCCTGGCAGATCGTCCGAAGTAATTGCAAACCCTGATGGAGTAGGCTTGAGAAAATGGAAATACAGTAACTCCAAAGCTTCATGGTGTGCGATCTCACTGCTGACGTCCGTGTAATATTGCAGGAAATTCGTCAGGACGTCCGTCATCTTGCGACGGTCATGTGCGACGTTGTTGAAACTTTTGTGAGGCATGGCTGGATTTTTTATAATATTGGTTTTTTATTTCTTTGTATTTTTTTTCCTTCTTTTCATATCGTAATCTGGCATTACGATATGAAAGGAAGTAACTTAAAGGGTTTTCCAAATTGTTAAATGTAATAGTAAACGCGGTATTGAAAGTTGGCAAAAATGCACACATGGTCACAGGTATGGATATTTTATGAATGAAATTGTGAATATTATGTATATTAAAGTTTATGCACAGGGTGGTCCACAATTCTCTCCGCAAATGTAAAAGCTCATTGCTCAGGAAATATACATTTGACTTGAATAATATATAACTCAAACGATAGCCAATTCAAGACAATTTTATTGTGGGACATTTCAGCTTTGCATATCCAACTAAAACAAAGTTTTACCATAACAAATTAAAATACACAAATCGTAAAAAGAAACCCTTTAAATATCGCAATTCATTCTGATATTCGCAATTCCATCTTGAGCTTCCCAATTCCGTTTCATCGGGGACCTCAGTATCATGTAGAAGACAAAGATTCACATTTAATGTGATCATTTGAAGGCGCATGTTTGGTGCAGAGATAATTCAAACCGGAGGACTTCGGTCGCGAAGCAGTTGGGCGGCGGGCAGGTCTGGGACGACTAGGTGAAATTGGAGCAGGGCAAGTAGTAGTAGGAGAGGTTCCCCAACCGCCTGCAAGGCAATGATATGATCCATAAACAATTTTTTTCCCTGAAAATAAAAATTATATTTGTCTCACAGCAGTCAGAAGCGAGGTAGGTAGTCACGGGCTTTCAGCTCCGGGAAATATGCTTCCCAAATATTTTATTGTACCACTTCCTGGTGATCCTTTCTTATTCGGATCACAAAAGAACATTTTAATTTCCAAGAAAATCAGACACAGAAGCAATAATATTATAATAACGCAGAGAAATTTCTGCATTGATGGAATATGCTAAACAGCACATGCTGCAACGTGGGAGGACCGATGACGTTGGTTCCGAGAGGATCGTCGCGATCCCCCGCCGCTAAATCAAATTAATCAATCGCGTCACTGATCCTCCGGTTGACATTCTTTAGCATGAATAATTTTCCTTGTCCTTGACGTATTGGCAGACGAGACAGGCTGGAATCAGTTTTGCGACTGTTATTCTGAATCCTGGTAAATGAACGTTTGAGGGAAAGATTTCCGCCGTTGACATGAAGATGGGAGCAACGATGATGAAGACCACGAGAAGGTTGGCCAGGAAAGTCATCATTGCCTTCACGAGCAAAATTTCAGGAGAAAGACGAGAAGGATTGACGAGACAAGACAAGCGAGTGTGACGGGATCTAAGAATCAGGATGAATTCCTTTCCATCGGTGGATTGAAGGAGTTAGCTGAGGCAATCTTCCTCATACGGGCTGGATTGATGGCGTCCGCTGGGGCGGTCGTCCCCTATTCACAGGTGTCAGTTGAGGCAGACCGTCCACTTGGAGGCATGATTTCAATCGAGTCGAAGGTCAGAAACGCCCTAAGGTACAACCCCTCAAGGTGTTACTACAATCAACATTCGATATCCAACACGATGGGCCAGACGAATGCATTCATGCTATCTTATCATGAGATGCCATCATGCTGAGTGTCATCTCGTCATGTCAGGATGGCTAAGGCATGAATGAATTATGACGTGCATGTGTGACGCAATATTCTGAAGTTCGTATGGCTATGGAATGAGACATGTTTCTAGCGTGACAAACTTTCCTGGTCATTAGGAGACATTTCAACTGGAACGATTGCCGGTCAGGTAACAGTATGGTATAAACTGAGTCTTCGTATGGACACTTGTAGAACTAGCTCTCGCATCAGAACTCGATTAATCTCAAATTAGCTTCTTTCCCTTTAGGTTTCGTAGTGAGCAGTATGCAATGTCTTTTTCCCCCCCGCCAAGCTTTCCGTCTGCATCTTTCTCTCTCATCTTCTCTTCTCTTCATCTCTCTCTCCCTATCCCTTTCGTTCTTTTGATCTCTACAGAAAAGGCTTTACGAGAAGAATAGAGGCTTGCATCAGGATGGCCTTAGCCTTCGACCATTATGAAGGGCGTTGCCTCATTTGCTCGTGTCAACTTGCGGTCGGAATTCGCAGTTTTGGGAAGTTTTGGGTGGGGGTTGTTTTTTGTGTACCTCGGTCAGGGTTATTAAATGTAACCTTGTTCAATGACATTCCTCGAGCTTTGGAAGTTTCCACGCATTGCAACGTTTCCCCGATCGTGCCCTTGTGGGAAGAGATCTCTTCAATAAAGTTCAATTCCGTCATTTTCTCACGAACGGATATGCACAACCAAAGTATATTAATTCGGATTTCAGGTTGTATAGACTCGAAACACAAACGGGTCCGAAAAAGACGAATTTCCAAGAAACTCAAGCTTCCGAATCAAACATTCCATCAACTTCCAGAGCTCTCAAAACCCATCACTAACATTCAATACACACACGAATCACTAATGAGGTGAAGGGCCTCCGGATTGGGGGAAGGAGAGGTGGAACTGGAGCAGTGCGACGAAGAAGGTGGACAGGTTCACCAACGTCTGCAAAAAAAACCCGCCAGAGATGGGAGACTCTCCACATCCATTTCTTCTGTTTTTAAACATCGATTTTGACTCACAGCAGAAAGAAGCGGGAGATCCACCTCGAACAGGCCGCAGGCAGTCACTGGTTTCCAACTCCGGGAAATTTCCCTTTCAAACATGTTGATCTAAAAAGCATGTGAGTATGCTGTTCGTAACAGTAAGAAATTTCGTGAAATTGTTTCTCGTTAATTCCATAGTGTCTCGTAAAGAGAATGGCTTCAATTCATCCGCGAAAGCCTAGTTCACCAGGAACAATTTCATATTCATCTACTTCATCCCATGGACAAAGGGGTTAGTTTTTTGAAGATCGAGATTCTTCAAAATCACTGGACATTTTAGGGATTTTGGGGACTCTCGCACGAATGAAAATTTCTCAACGTGGCTCCCATTCCCGAAATGATGAAATTAACTGCGTTAATTTCTACAGGTTAGGAGTTCGCATACCCTGAAGAAGGGTAGGGCACAACCAATCAGGAATAGGTAGATAGGACTTCCATTTTTTTATCATTGAACCTTTTTGTTGCGTAGTTTGTGGGCCCCTTCAGATCACTTCAAAGTCTCATCCACACCGACTGATGCGAATCAGGGGCATCTTTGACGGGCATCTATTGAATCTTTGAGTGCATGATATGAATAGAGTAAGAGTAATTCAAATTTAGTCAATGAGCATGACACATTTTTAATTCCATCAGTGGCCCAAAATTAATTCCCATTTCCGAAGAATTAAACAACATCATGCGTTAACCTGCTCCTTTTAATATGAATTGTTCAAGGGTTGTGTGCTCAATGTGGAAAATGTATTGAATTTATCACCAATTCCATTTTCATCATTTAATCTGCAGTTGGATCACGCTCAGTTTGCTTTCATCCAAATGACGTTACGATGAACATGTATTTCATCATCAGAGCTTCTGAAGGAGAGCAAAACTTGAACTGCTTTGAATATAATGGAAACTGCTGAGTTTATCTTTGGTGCTACACACAATCTTCATGTTTCATCTTCACTAAATCAGAAAAATGTTAAATCTGAAAAATGTTAAAACTATGAAGGAAACACACCTGCTTCAAGAAAGAGGAGTCGACGATGGTTTTCCCAGCCGCCCGTGAAAGGATCGTTGACATTTCCCATCTCTGAATCAGATAATCAATGATGTCGACATTTCATCCACCGACTGGCATTGATTGACGTGTACAACTTACGTTGTTTTTGACGTTTCGGCAGACTAGACAGGTTGACAGAAGTTTCGTCGCAGTCAGGATGAACCCAGGTATGTACTCAAGAAAAGGAAATGCCGCCGGCGAGGATGTCAGGACGGGAGCTATGAGGATGAAGGCCATGAAGAGAGCTGTCGCAAAGGTCGTGAGAGCCTTCAAGAGCAGAATTTCCGAGAAGAGGCTAGAGGAGAGGTCGAGAAGATGACACAAGTGGGTGTAACGGCATCTCAAGGTCTGGATGAATTCGACCCCATCGACCGTATTAACCGCATTCGGCGAAGCAATCTTTCTGCCATCGACTGGATTGATGGCGTTCGTTGGAGCAGTCGTCCGCCAGCGAGGATGGCGAATCTGCTCTCCTTCCTGTGAAACGGTTGTGGTTCTTCCATCTGAATGCCACATTCCGTCTGAGCTGCCTTCATTGGATAAGATCCTCTGATCAGAATTGCTTGATTCCACAACTTCTTGCCCCTCTCCTCGAATACCTTGTGCTTTCNAAGAAGCGGGAGATCCACCTCGAACAGGCCGCAGGCAGTCACTGGTTTCCAACTCCGGGAAATTTCCCTTTCAAACATGTTGATCTAAAAAGCATGTGAGTATGCTGTTCGTAACAGTAAGAAATTTCTTGAAATTGTTTCTCGTTAATTCCATAGTGTCTCGTAAAGAGAATGGCTTCAATTCATCCGCGAAAGCCTAGTTCACCAGGAACTATTTCATATTCATCTACTTCATCCCATGGACAAAGGGGTTAGTTTTTTGAAGATCAAGATTCTTCAAAATCACTGGACATTTTAGGGATTTTGGGGACTCTCGCACGAATGAAAATTTCTCAACGTGGCTCCCAATTCCCGAAATGATGAAATTAACTGCGTTAATTTCTACAGGTTAGGAGTTCGCATACCCTGAAGAAGGGTAGGGCACAACCAATCAGGAATAGGTAGATAGGACTTCCATTTTTTTATCATTGAACCTTTTCGTTGCGTAGTTTGTGGGCCCCTTCAGATCACTTCAAAGTCTCATCCACACCGACTGATGAGAATCAGGGGCATCTTTGACGGGCATCTATTGAGTCTTTTAGTGCATGATATGAATAGAGTAAGAGTAATTCAAATTTAGTCAATGACCATGACACATTTTTAATTCCATCAGTGGCCCAAAATTAATTCCCATTTCCGAAGAATTAAACAACAACATGCGTTAACCTGCTCCTTTTAATATGAATTGTTCAAGGGTTGTGTGCTCAATGTGGAAAATGTATTGAATTTATCACCAATTCCACTTTCATCATTTAATCTGAAGTTGGATCACGCTCAGTTTGCTTTCATCCAAATGACGTTACGATGAACATGTATTTCATCATCAGAGCTTCTGAAGAAGAGCATAACATGAACTACTTTGAATGTAATGAAAACTGCTGAATTTACTTTTGGTGCTATACATAATTTTCATGTTTCATCTTGACTAAATCCGACTGTGAAAAATGTTAAAACTATGAAGGAAACACACCTGCTTCAAGAAAGAGGAGTCGACGATGGTTTTCCCAGCCGCCCGTGAAAGGATCGTTGACATTTCCCATCTCTGAATCAGATAATCAATGATGTCGACATTTCATCCACCGACTGGCATTGATTGACGTGTACAACTTACGTTGTTTTTGACGTTTCGGCAGACTAGACAGGTTGACAGTAGTTTCGTCGCAGTCAGGATGAACTCAGGTATGTACTCAAGAAAAGGAAATGCCGCCGGCGAGGATGTCAGGACGGGAGCTATGAGGATGAAGGCCATGAAGAGAGCTGTCGCAAAGGTCGTGAGAGCCTTCAAGAGCAGAATTTCCGAGAAGAGGCTAGAGGAGAGGTCGAGAAGATGACACAAGTGGGTGTAACGGCATCTCAAGGTCTGGATGAATTCGACCCCATCGACCGTATTAACCGCATTCGGCGAAGCAATCTTTCTGCCATCGACTGGATTGATGGCGTTCGTTGGAGCAGTCGTCCGCCAGCGAGGATGGCGAATCTGCTCTCCTTCCTGTGAAACGGTTGTGGTTCTTCCATCTGAATGCCACATTCCGTCTGAGCTGCCTTCATTGGATAAGATCCTCTGATCAGAATTGCTTGATTCCACAACTTCTTGCCCCTCTCCTCGAATACCTTGTGCTTTCCCATCGTCTTTATGGACGAAAGTTTTCGCTCGTCGATTCAGGCACTCGAAGCTCGCTCCAATCCCAAGCATTACGGATGAGAACAGCGTTTCCTCAAGTGAGGGCAACAAATATGCCAGTAAAAAGGCAAACCCCATCGGGATCGAAGTCACCATGGACCAAGATATAGCAAAGGCCAAGATGATCAATATGAGCCAAAAAATTCCTTGCGCAATGGCGACAAAGAAAACCCGAAAGCGAATCATTCGAAATTCTTGCTCATTAAAGTCCATTTCTCCGCTTTGTAAAAGAAGACGAAACGTGCGGTACTTTATCGTAAGGAGGAAACTCGATATCGCCATGATGAAGATCGCGAATTGACTTCCTACGACACTGATATAGACCATCAGGTATCCCATTCGCTCCCTTAAGTCATTTGAGAGAAGAGGAAAAGTTATTAAGGACAGAGCCCACGAGCAGACGCAGAAGATGAGGATGCAATAGACGAACCATATAACATTCAGGGGGAACACAGGGCCTCGAAGAGAGAGAGGAACGAGGCCGAAAACTTTGGCCACGCTAAGGACCGGCCGGCAAGTCTTCATGAACAAGTTTTCCATGGCTGCCCGCTCCACTCTGAAGGATAGGGGACGAAAGTCGACCTCATCTCTTGAACTAAATCGATTCCATTATGGAAAATTGCATTGGGAACCCGTCGACCCAACCCAGGGGAACACTCTTTCAACGTTGACTCTATCTGAAACTGTCTGTCAGATTGCTCTAAAGAAAATTATCGTGAGGTTCAAAAGCAATCCATTTTCTGTGATGCACGGTTGCGTCGTCGTTTATGGCGATTTTTTGGCTGATAAGATGTGCTTTTATTATGCTACTGGCAGTATGGATTTGCAGAAGGCTTCTTAGCTACTGATCTGATGATCCGAATGACAATTGTGTTTTTGTGACAGCTGTAACGGCCAAACGCTTCGCAATATGAACTTGGGCTTTCGACTGAACTCTTTATCATCCGAGGATGTGCCTTTTGAAAGTGAAATTTGCAAATCCGCAGCAGGAAAGGGAGGGGAAGCTTCTTCCACCGAAAATCGGAGATTCGGTATCGTCTCGCCTTCTCTCGGAAGGACGAGGAGACGAGAGTGGCCTTTGCAATCTCAAGAGATCTTTCGCATAGCTGACTGCGTTGCTTCCCGCCTGCTGCCGAGAATGACGGTCACACGTCTAGCGTCTTCATTCGTTTCTTCAACTTGCACGGCATTCTCATCTGTTGGCGACTCGGTGCTCCGTCGACGCGGTCGCTGCTCGTCGATGACACTTGTTCGCCCAGAATCGAAGGCTTTACACCGCACCCATACTTGTTTTCGAGACATGAAAGGTTCTCCATAAATATATACAACTTGGCGATGTATTTTTTTAGGTGTGGTGGCTCTTGCATAAAGAAAACGAATAGAACTCTGCACTTCAGCATTTGGACACGTTCCTAAGAGGGCCGTCATCTTAACTGGCATTTTACGCATAGGCAGTATTACACAGCGATCAATGGAATGGAAGCTTAANCCCATCTCTGAATCAGATAATCAATGATGTCGACATTTCATCCACCGACTGGCATTGATTGACGTGTACAACTTACGTTGTTTTTGACGTTTCGGCAGACTAGACAGGTTGACAGTAGTTTCGTCGCAGTCAGGATGAACTCAGGTATGTACTCAAGAAAAGGAAATGCCGCCGGCGAGGATGTCAGGACGGGAGCTATGAGGATGAAGGCCATGAAGAGAGCTGTCGCAAAGGTCGTGAGAGCCTTCAAGAGCAGAATTTCCGAGAAGAGGCTAGAGGAGAGGTCGAGAAGATGACACAAGTGGGTGTAACGGCATCTCAAGGCCTGGATGAATTCGACCCCATCCACCGAATTAACCGCATTCGGCGAAGCAATCTTTCTTCCATCGACTGGATTGATGGCGTTCGTTGGAGCAGTCGTCCGCCAGCGAGGATGGCGGATCTGCTCTCCTTCCTGTGAAACGGTTGTGATTCTTCCATCTGAATGCCACATTCCGTCTGAGCTGCCTTCATTGGATAAGATCCTCTGATCAGAATTGCTTGATTCCACAACTTCTTGCCCTTCTCCTCGAATACCTTGTGCTTTCATATCGTCTTCACGGACGAAAGTTTTCGCACGTCGATTGAGGCACTCGAAGCTCGCTCCAATCCCAAGCATTACGGATGAGAACAGCGTTTCCTCAAGAGAGGGCAACAAATATGACAGTAAAAAGGCAAACCCCATCGGGATCGAAGTCACCATGGACCAAGATATAGCAAAGGCCAAGATGATCAATATGAGCCAAAAAATTGCTTGCGCAATGGCGACAAAGAAAACCCGAAAGCGAATCATTCGAAATTCTTGCTCATTAAAGTCCATTTTTCCGCTTTGTAAAAGAAGACGAAACGTGCGGTACTTTATCGTAAGGAGGAAACTCGATATCGCCATGATGAAGATCGCGAATTGACTTCCTACGACACTGATATAGACCATCAGGGATCCCATTCGCTCCCTTATGTCATTTGAGAGAAGAGGAAAAGTTATTAAGGACAGAGCCCACGAGCAGACGCAGAAGATGAGGATGCAATAGACGAACCATATAACATTCAGGGGGAACGCAGGGCCTCGAAGAGAGAGAGGAACGAGGCCGAAAACTTTGGCCACGCTAAGGACCGGCCGGCAAGTCTTCATGAACAAGTTTTCCATGGCTGCTCGCTCCACTCTGAAGGATAGGGGACGAAAGTCGACCTCATCTCTTGAACTAAATCGATTCCATTATGGAAAATTGCATTGGGAATCCGTCGACCCAACCCAGGGGAACACTCTTTCAACGTTGACTCTATCTGAAACTGTCTGTCAGATTGCTCTAAAGAAAATTATCGTGAGGTTCAAAAGCAATCCATTTTCTGTGATGCACGGTTGCGCGGTCGTTTATGGCGATTTTTTGACTGATAAGATGTGCTTTTATTATGCTAATGGCAGTATGGATTTGCAGAAGGCTTCATATATCTTCTTAGCTACTGATCTGATGATCCGAATGACAATTGTGTTTTTGTGACAGCTGTAACGGCCAATCGCTTCGCAATATGAACTTGGGCTTTCGAATGAACTCTTTATCATCCGAGGATGTGCCTTTTGAAAGTGAAATTTGCAAATCCGCAGCAGGAAAGGGAGGGGAAGCTTCTTCCACCGAAAACCGGAGATTCGGTATCGTCTCGCCTTCTCTCGGAAGGACGAGGAGACGAGAGTGGCCTTTGCAATCTCAAGAGATCTTTCGCATAGCTGACTGCGTTGCTTCCCGCCTGCTGCCGAGAATGACGGTCACACGCCTAGCCTCTTCATTCGTTTCTTCAACTTGCACGGCATTCTCATCTGTTGGCGACTCTGTGCTCCGTCGACGCGGTCGCTGTTCGTCGATGACACTTGTTCGCCCAGAATCGAAGGTTTTACACCGCACCCATACTTGTTTTCGAGACATGAAAGGTTCTCCATAAATATATACAACTTGGCGATGTATTTTTTTTAGGTGTGGTGGCTCTTGCATAAAGAAAACGAATAGAACTCTGCACTTCAGCATTTGGACACGTTCCTAAGAGGGCCGTCATCTTAACTGGCATTTTACGCATAGGCAGTATTACACAGCGATCAATGGAATGGAAGCTTAACTGTACTACGTCACCAAAAAAGTTCCTCGACACAAGCAATAACTTATTCGCACCAGGCCTTGTTATACTATTTATTGATCACCCTTCGTATGCTCTCTCGCTCTAATGCCCACCTTCCGCCCGTTCCGACGAACGACGCGTCTAAAACCCCTTCAACCAATTGTGCTCGAAAACTGGGAGCACTGAGCACACAAGGAATACATGGTTTTGCCTTTGGTGCTGGACGCGTTCGTGGTCTTCACATCGAAGGAGACAGACGGTGAATGCTGGAGCCTTAATCTCATCCATTTCTTTGATCCTGTGCAGCCTGCCGGTCGAGAAGGATATGCACTCCTCGGCGTGAAGAATTGCCTGTGTGATGTCAATGCCGATCCGGAAGGAACTGGATGGAAAAAGGTCTGATTTCTACACGCCTGCCGCAGGGACGAACATGACACGATCCCGATCGTCTGCTTTCCTTGGTACGACACAGTTTTTCTGGGAGTTTCCGTGTCTGAAGAGGGCATCGATTTTGTTTCTAGCTCGTATATCTGAGACTCGGGTTTCTTGGCAATTTTTTTAGTCGGCCATTCCTGAAATGGAATGGTAAATGCATGAAAGCGGAACCTGAAGTGGCACCTCATTACCTAAAGGAATTTGCCACCTGGAATGGACTCGACGTCGCAATAGCTGATAGTGACCAAGTTTCAGGTTTTTACCTCATCAGTATTATGGTTAGAAACAACTTCAGTCATTTGTATACGAGGCTCGTATGAAAAGTCATGCGTGTTCCGCAATAAAAATTTGCATATTGCGCGCACGCGGAAAATTCCTACAAATTCTGAAAGCCCCATCAAAGAGGAACGCAACGATGTATAACATAGGCTGGTTGCTAATATGCAAATGTAACAGTCGTGGGAGAAACAGAGGCAGGTAGCGGCAGTTTCCCGATGAGTACTTTTAAAAGGAAAAGAATGCTTCATAAGTTGAGAAATGGAGCAGAGAAATGCCATTTTGTTTTCGTTTCGACG